AAAAGAAAAGAAAAGAAAAAAAGAAAAGAAAGGTTTGTTTTTCTCCTCCCAAATACATTTTATGCAACATGCAAAGCAGATATGAGAAATGGAGTTGCGCTGGTTTGGTGGCCTCTCCTACCCCTCCCTACCTCTTCATTCTCTGGTCCCTGAGATACAAGGAGAACTCTGAAACTCTGAGGGACAGCCCTAAACTGCAGATCCAGTCCCACCCCATTTACGTGTTTGCAGTGATGAATAGTCCAAGGATGAGTGTATCTTCTACAAGTACATTTTAAGAGCAGGTTTGACTGGTTATCAGCCGGGGCCTACACAGAAGCCTGGTGGGCTCAGGAACCAGGAAATGGGCTGTGAGAGGTCCAGACTGTGCCCTTATTCTGCCCCTGGAGTTGCTTGTCTGCTTCTCCTTAACCATTTTGTTTTCCCACAGACAAATGAATGCAAGCTGTCAGATCAGCGTGCTGCTTTGAGCCAGGGCCAGAACCCCCTGCCCATCTACCTCACCATCAATGTCAAGGATGATGTAAGCAACAAGGATTTCAGAGGTAACACTCGTGGCTAGCAATTTACAGTGTGTGTGTGTGTGTGTGGGGGGACCCTTTTCAGCAGGCAAAGGCACCCAGCACCCCAGCGCGCGCGCATGTGCGCAAACACACATACACACACACACACACACATCCACTGCACCTTTGCCAATCTCCACATCAAAAGGCAGTCATGAAGCTGAAGAAATCGACTTTGTTACCCCCTTCTTCCCTGCCACATGGGTGGTGTGGAAGGGAGCAGGACAGAGGCCCCTAACTTCCCTGGGTGGTGGTTTGATGAGACGGGGAAATAAAAGTCATGAAGGGAAGTGGTCCTAGGTATTTCTTAAGCTGCCCAGAGGAAGGGACTCTAGAGACCTGCCCTGCTTCAGGGTCAGTTTGGATCCGCATTTGTCAGATTTTGGAGGAGCAAGGAGCCCAGCAGGTTGCAAACGTGCGTCGTGCCCGGCCAGCAAAAGCCGGCCTTGGGCGCCCTCATGTGTCCTGTGGGGGAACTGCGGTCTCGCTCTCCGGTCTCCCCCAAACCAGTGAACCAGTTCACGAGATGAGGAGGGAGAGGGGGGCTGTGCAGGCCTGACACTGACACCCTGTCCTGCTGCTTCATGTGCAGAGTGGTGCGAGTTTTCCCCCTACGAGGTGGGCATGCAGAAGTACGGGGCCTTCATCCCCACCGAGCTCTTTGGCTCCGAATTCTTCATGGGGCGTCTGATGAAGAGGATCCCAGAGTCGCGGATATGCTACTTGCTAGGTGACTCCTGGCTGGGGAGGCTCCTGGGCACCCTGAGCTATGTTGAGCAGGACCCTACCTTTGAATTAGAGAATGACAGGGAGGCATGTTCTATTCTCCCAAGAATTGTCCCTACTGACATGGAAGCTTCTGGAACTCCCACCGTCTCCCCCTCCGGTTCCAAGCAGCAACGCGCCTGCTTCCAGGGGCAAACCTAGCCCTTGAGTTCCAACGGGCCAGAGGGGACCACAGAGTGCAGGTGGAGTCCCTGGGGAAGACTGGCCCAGCTTCCAACCCTACCTCCCTGGTCCCCCAGAGCCAAGAGCATTGAATGCAGGGGCCTGACTGTGATGTCCACTAGTTCAGTTCTCCCCTTCAGAGCCTGAACTGCATCTGTCAAAGGATGACCTCAAAAAAACAGATCCATCTTTAAAGCCTCAACCACAGTTATGCCCTTATTTAAACTAGTTGTATGCACCGCGCCCCCCCTTCCCCCTCCTCCCCACACACACCTTCCATCTATCCCAATCCAACCCATCCCAGAAGGTCCAACTCAAACCCCACATCTTCTGTGAAGCCCACCGGGAAGTCCCCAGCCCATGGTGGCCTCTCGTTCCTCTAAACACCTATACTATTAGGCATGTGGTTCAGAGATCTGTAGTTAAGACACTTGGACTTGACTCCTCATTGATTAGCTGTGTGGAGCTGGCCAAATGACCTAACCTCTCCGACCCACAGTTTTCTTATCTGTAAATTGGGCTTAAGAGTAAAACCTACCTTATAGAGGATCCAAATAGGTCAACGTATGTGAAAGATTTCATATGAGTAGTGTTATTAATCTGTTGCATTTTGAAATCATGATAATAAGAGGTCACATTACATTTACCAAGTGCTCGCCACGTGCCAGGTACTATCCTAAACTAGTATACTAACTGATGCAAGAGTGGGCATCTGGACTTGAACTTGAGGCCTGCACCTGTCAGCATTAAGTCGCTGCTGGGACTGTGCCTTATATGCCTTCGTACTCTCCCCCAGCTCTGAGAGGACGATGGAGAAGAGCTGAGGGCTGGGGATCATCAGTCATCTGGGTCAAGCTGCACTGTGGGCAGAGGGAAATCAAAGCCTGTCCCACTCCCTAAGAAGTCTGACTTGAAGAGGGAACCAAGGCAGAACCAGTCAATATTTGGGTGGGCCTGCGGGCTCTTGGACACAACTGCTCACGGCTGGCCCTCCTCTCTAGGTTTGTGGAGCAGCATCTTCTCCATGAACGTGCTCGACGTCTGGGATTATTGCCAAAACTCAGAGGATTTTTTCTACAGGTGGACGAGGGAGAGAGTGTACAACATTGGTGGGTAACCTACTGGCTTCCCCTCTTGGTTGGGAAGGGGGTGGTGGAGAGGGGTGGATCACAAACAAGAACTATTCCACCTGCCATGTGTTTCAACATCCTCTCTGTGGTTCACAAACATGGGAAGGCAGCTAGGGCTGGAGGGTCTTCCCTGCCTGGAGGGGAGGGTGGTTGCTCAGAGGCCCAGCTGCAAGCCCCCAGGAGCCAGCTCTAGTGTGGTCAGGGAAGTGAGTCCACTGTGTAGTAAGCTTGGCAGAGCTGTGAGGAGCCCTGGAGAGCGGAAGAGGGTAGGGATCTATGAACACAGTTAAAGGTTGCTCATCTAGACTGTTCTCTCTTACCTACCCCCCCTCACCACCGCTGTTCTGTGTCTCTCACCTGGGTACTCCAGCTCCAGGGTTTTGAAGGCCAGGCAAGGAAGGTGTGAACAGCACCTACAGTGGCTCACCCCTGGGTTCCGGGCCATCATGCAGGGCTCCACCTGGGAAATCTGGGCCCCAAACTCTTATGATCTGCTCTCCAATCCCTTCTCCCCTGCAGAAGATGATCCGCTCCTTCCTGAAATCCCCAAATGTGAGGCCAATGTCCTGGACACCGCGGTGGTGACCCCAGCATCATGGCTGTCCAATACTTTCCGCGAAATCCTCACCTATCGGTCCTTAGTGTCTGAGTTCCACAACTTTCTCTTGGGGCTGCAGCTGCACACTGACTACCTCCAGAACGGCCAGTTCTCCATGTGGAAAGGTACCCTACCTGGCTGCTGCTTGAGGCCTGCATCTGTTTTGAGGAGGGACAAGTAGATGTCGAGGTTACCGTGGAGATAAGATGAGAAAAGTCCTCTGACCATGTTCATGGGTCAGGTGGCAGAGTCCCCCCATGGTGTACTCCTGGGTGAAGTCTTGAATATTGGGTGGAGTGGTGTTCGTATTTAATGAATTGAATCTGTTCAACACCTCTATACAGAATCTGTACAATGATCTTAGCAGGTAGAAGTTGGCCCATTGTGTAAATGGGGAAGTGTGGGCCCCGACTTTCTGCAGTTGTGCTCTGGGGGCACCTTTTCATGTGAGTGGTGCCCCCTGGAGTTGGGCAGGGGATGGCCCAGTTCAACAACACCCAAGTGGGAACTAGCAGAGCCAGGCCTTAGACTGTGGTCTTACAGCTTCAACTCAGCGCCTCCTCCCCACCCTGTTAAGGCTCTAAGGTTGACTTTCTACCTTTTTTGGTGTTTTATTTGGCCACAGTCTGCAGATGGTTGCTTCGACTTGGCCTAATAATCCTTGTCCTCACCATCTGGGCAGAAAGGGCAACTGGCTCTGGTCCCCAAGTTTGCACCAATTTATAGGATAGTCTTATGTCCCTACTACCCCACAAACCCTATGGCTGAGTCATAGTGGGTTTTCTGTGCATATTCCATAAAAGACTTGCTAAAACCCCAAGAAAATGCTGTTCATCAGCCCACCCAGAGGGGCGCCCACTCACCTGGGCATCCTGGCCAGAAGTGGGGTGCTGAAGGCCCAGGCTGAAGGGTGAAGGAACTCAGGGCAGGGCACTCTGTCCCTACCAGGTGCCTCTGACCATCCACTGAGATTGGGATTCTGGGGTGTGATGGTAACTGGAAGCCTTGGATTTCAGACACTGTGCTTGATGACTTCCCAAACCAGCTGACAGAGTCTGTGAACCACTTGTGTCTAGTGGACACCGCATTCTTCTTCAACGCCAGCTACCCACCCCTCCTCCGGCCAGAGAGAAAAGCCGACCTCATCATCCACCTCAATTATTGTGCTGGGTCCCAGACAAAGGCAAGTGAGGCAAAGAAAGACCCCCCCGCCCCCTGAGCAGTAGTGCTGCCTCTTCGGAGACAGGCTACTGATAAGCACCGCGAACTGGGAAATGGGGAATGTGTGCTTCCTATAGGCTCCAAGACCAGCATCAGGGAAACTCTAGCTGCTATCCATGACATGAGGGGAGCCATCCAAACCTCAGGGGGCTGCCAGCTGGCCCTCACGCAGTGGGGCCCAGGGTTTGTGTGGACTCACTGAGCTAATTCCAATCATTGCATCTGAGCATTTGCCACATTTTGAAATTCTTCATCTGCAAAAAAGGAGTTTTAAAAAATAACCTTAATAGAGCCCAGTCCTGTCCAAGGTTTTATACCACTTCAAGAGCTTATAATGTCCTATTTTCAAAATAACCACACTGTCCTGCTCTCCCAGAGAATATGACCCTTCATGTAATTATACTAAAGAACCAGGACCAGAGCTTTTAATTTATTATTACTTATTTACTTTTGAAATGTTCTGGTGTTTTAAGGGAAAGAAACTGGTTTTGGTCTACTTTAATACTGTCCTATCCTGAAGCCAGGAAAAGGGAAGTGTAGACATCATAAGGATGACAACAATGATAAAGAACAAAGTTTGTAAATGAGTGACATCATCCTTTCCTACACACGATCTCACGTGATCCTCATGCCAGCTCTTTGTGGTAGATGGAATACCTGCTACTATTCCCATGTTGTAGTTGAGGGAACTGAAGCACAGAGAAGGTAAATGTCTTGCTTAGGATCACACAACTAGTGAGTGTGGAACAGGGGGCAGAACTAAGAGGCTTCTGATCCTCCAAGTCCACTGCTCTTTCTGTTATATCATGTTTATGCCCTTTCAGATTCCTTTCCAGTCCTGTGACACTTTGTCAGTTCCAAAGCCCATGTATGTCCCCCAGGAGCCTGCCCACCATGGCTATACATGGCTCGACTCCCATCACCCTCAGGCTGCACTCACACCTACCCAGGTCTGTGTTTAGGTGAAGCATCATTGAAAGGGCTTCTGTCCGTTTTACTTGTGGAAGGAGCTTGCAGTTGGACACACACCAACCTACTGCCTCGGGCCCTTTGTTCTGACGTGGCTTTGTTCCAAAAATAGCACAAATAGGCCAAATAGTTGGAGACGTGAGTTCAGGAAGCTGGATCTAAGAACTCTGTGTTTCTTACCCACCCCCACAACCTCATCTCAAACATGTCCTCCTGTGATACTCTAGCCCATGAAACAAAGTTGTGAGTACTGCGCCTTGCAGAACATCCCCTTCCCCGAATATGACCTGCAAGAGGAGGGGAATAGTAATCTCAAGGAATGCTACCTGATGGAGAACTCCCAGGAGCCTGATGCCCCCATCGTGCTGTTCTTCCCGCTCATCAACGACACCTTCCAAAAGTACAAGGCCCCAGGTAAGCCGCCTCCAAGCTCAGTGCCCACGACCCACTGGCCTTGGATTGAGAGCTCCTATCTTATGCCATCTTCTAATAGTACTAACGGGAAGCCTGGCTTAGCTCCAGTCTGAGCCAACCTTGGCTTGGGGAAGAAAGAAAAGATCTCCCATGCCCCGCCATGAGCTTGCAGTGTCAGACTCTATCAGTCATTCAACATTTATTGACATCTGACTATATGCCTGGCATGGTGTTGGTGCTAGGGCAGTCCTAAGATGGGTGAGCTGCAATCCCTGCCCTAGGAGCTTGGAGGTATATGTACGTGTGTGTATGTGTGAGTGTGCACATCTTCAGGCAGGCGCGTGTGCCCATGCATGCAGGGGTGGCTGTGCGGAGAGATAGGACACAAGTCATTATAACCTAACATAATAAGAGTCTATAGCGAGTCCTTCTGTGCCTCCAGGTGTGGAGCGAAGCCCTGAGGAGCTGGAGAAGGGCCAGGTTGACATTTATGGCCCCAAAACTCCCTATGCCACCAAGGAGGTGACGTACACGGAGGCCGCCTTCGACAAGATGGTGGACCTGTGCGAATACAACATCCTGAATAACAAGGACAAGCTCCTTCATGCCTTGCGAATGGTAGTGGAGAAGAAGAAACTCCTGAAGAGCCAGTGTCCCCCTGAAGTCCCAGGGAGCTTCACCAATCCTGTGTCTGCTTCCACTGTTGGGGGCAGGGACCCCATCAGGGCTGACCAGCCCACAGAGTCGGCTCTGCTCTCTGGCCAGGGATGCAGGCAAGCTAGTCTGGGCTCTCTTTCAAACAATTAAAATTAAAAAAGGTTGAGGGAGACAGAGAGAAAGAGGCACAGGAAAATAACAAGGCATGTATTGGGGTTTCATAGTCACTGGAATTTTTTTAAACCTTTCCCTGTAGGGAAAGGGGTCCAATAGCCACAGGCTCCCACACATGCCTAAAGCGTGGAGGAAAAGAGCATGGCCTGAGGAGGAGGCTGGTTCCCCACGAACCTCAGACTCAGAGCTGGAGCTCAGAGCCCTCCCCTCTCTACTCCTCTCTGCCTACTGGCATGGAGGGCCTCAGGGAATGCACAGGAGAACCTGAGAAACACTCTGGGTTCTCTGAAAAAACACTTCTTAAATTTTCAGGTAATTATATTCTTGTGATTTTTGTAGGCAATTATATTTTTTGGTTTTTATTTCTATGAGTCATGAATAGGGAGCATGATGCTAGATGATCTAGATGTAGCACTAGAGGCATTCTGGTCTCTTTAACAACAAAGCCAAACAGGTGACGGAGTTTCAGCAGCCCCTCTCCAGCCACTCGGAGCTCCAGGACTGGTGACCCCCATGATCCCTACCAGGCAGCCTCGTCTGAGCATCCAGCTCCAGTGAGATGCCAGGCAAAGCCCAAGTCTGCAGCTAACACTCATGGAACAAGGATCCTAGATGCAGCTCAGGGATGTCTGGGCAGGTAAATGGACTTGGGCATCAGATAGGTGATGCTGCCCAGTGCCACCCACTCCAAGAGGCCGGCGCTTGCTGACAAACCTGCTCTAGGAGCACGCCTCAGTTCTCTGTCACCCTCCCCTCTGTTTTCCAGATGGGATTATTTATTTCTAAATGGGATTTCTCTTATGTATTATGTAAACACCATGGCCAGCACATCCAGCTCTTGGCAAGTCACCCTGAGAAAATGAAACTAGGAAGGATCTACCCAGAAAGGACTAGGTGAGCTCTGAGGAAGAAGCCTATCCTTGGAGGTGGTTTCAAGGTGAATTACTGGGGAAGCCCAAGAACACACAGAAGCCCCATCAAAGCATCCAGGTCTCCCGTCAGGCTGGGAATGTAACTAAAAAAAAATGTGTAACCTGAGCTACTGAGATGCCCAGGCCGATAGACAGTGTGACCAGAAAGGCATGTGGTCTGTGTAAAACCCAGCAAACCTGGAAGACATGCCCCTCTTTCTGGGTCACCATGCTCCATTAGTAGTCCTTTGGTGGTTAGGAGACAAATGGGGACAGGTACCAAAAGTTTAGAAAAATTGGCCTCCAATTGACACCCTTGCTATTCCTTGGTGGGGTACTGGTTAGAAACACAAAATCTCAGGCCCCACGCCAGCCGTATTGAATCAGAATCTGCGTTGTAAGGAGATTCCCACCTCCTCTCCCTGTGCATATTAAAGTTTGCCTATGCATATTAAAGTTTGAGAGGTGTGGATTTATGCCATACTTTCCCATAAGCCTGGGAAGCATGAACAATCAACTCCCCTGAGCCACTGACAAACTGGGTTCCTGGATGCCCTAAACTGGTCGGTCCCCCCCCCAGACAACACTAACCTGGGACGCCACCTCACCCCCTCCACCAGAGCTGCCAACTGCCTCCACGTTGATAACTTTTCCTTCCATCTGCAACAAACGGGCTCTCCTTAAATGATCAGAGTGAGCCATATAGCAAGACCTGTTTGTTGTGAGGTGAAGGCAGCCCTGCCTTGGATTCCTCAAAGTACGTAGAGTGAGGTTTCTAAAACCATTGAATTATTCGAGCACGGAATAAAATGGCCATGTGGGTAAATGCTGTTGCCTCATCTGTTTTCATTATCTGATGCTATAAGACATGCACAATTCCTGCCCTCCTCCTTGCCTGGCCACTGCCAGAGGCGTGAGAAGGCCATTTCCATCCCATCTCTTCTCTCTTCTGCTGCTTCCCTTCCTCCTGCAGGGATCTCCCCCCTTCTCGTGGTGGGGTGCTTTTCTGTTTTTATGAAGCCATGCGAGCAACCAGTGGAGCACCAACTCTTGCTGACCCATGCTGCTTAAAGCTCCAATGGTTTTCAAGAAGCTCTGATCTAGAGAAAGGAAGGACAGCCTGCATCAGCTGAGCACCTACTTGGTGTACCACGGTCGTGATCACTGAACAGCCTCTGCTTTCCAGGAATATAGATTTGGGGTGTAAGGAAAGACATGAACATATTTTTATATGGATTTGGGAAGTCAAATAGTGACTTAGCTTCTAAAACAATGCTGGCGATGTCACAGAGCAGGAGATTCGTGAGGGCCACATAGGGGATAAGAACAAAATGTCACTCTGTGAGGGGCAAGGGCACAGGGTCCTGGAGAGGTCAGGGAGGCTCCCTCCTCAGATTCCCTGCTCTCTGCCTGTACCATGATTTAATAGAAAAATTAAAATTCTTCTCTCCCCAAGGGTCCATGCTTTTCGTTTCCCCTTTCCTTCTCCGGAGAGCAGCCAGCTAACCACACTGCCATGGAAGCCAGTCACCCTGTCTCACAGTAGATGTGTTCTGCACCTACATCCCCATGAGAACACTTCCCCTCAAGGTCACCAGTGTCCTCTCAATTGCCAGATACACTGAATCAAATGGCACTGGCCCTTTCTAGGTCTTATCTTACTTGACCATTCTCAGCAGTTAGCACCGCAGACCACTCCCTCCTTCCTGAAACCCTCCCTTCCCATGATTTCCTTGCCAACAGCAGTTCAATTCAGTTCTGCTTGTAAATATTTATTTTCTTCCCACTATGTGCCAGTCACTGTTTGTAGGCACTGAGAAAATAAAAAGGATTAACAATTGAGCCCACACTTCATGGAGCTTGCTTCTGATTCCATGTAGGAGGCCTACATGGAAACAGAGCCTTGCGATACAAAAAGAAAGTTCCATGTTAGCTGTGTACAGAAGGGGCACACATTAGGGGCTGCCAACCCAGCCCTGGAGGGAAGGGGCCACGTTTTCTGGATACCTTCTGTCCTGTATTCCCACTTTCAAGCCCCTCCCCTGGCCTCACCTCCCTTGTTCTCCTTTAGCTGCTGGTATTTCTTGAGGTTCTCTCCTTAGTTCTCTTCTCTTCTCACTCTATACTCTCCTTAAGCAGTTTCATCTACACCCAGGACTTCAAGTACGGCTTCTATTTTGAAAACTCTCAAACCTTTAGCTCTAACCAAACCAATTTCCTAAGTGCTTTTTTTTGGAAGTTAAAGTATTTACTGATGTGTTTAGACTTCCTAAGTTCTTGATTCATGTATTCAAATTCTATACCAGTGAGCGTTATTTCTGTTACATAACCCGAAAGGTCTAAAATTACAGTGACTTAAACATGATAGGAGTTTATTTCTATTTCTTATCAGAGACCCAGGGTCCTTTCAGCTCTTGCTTCTGCTAGCTTCAAGTTTGCCTTCTGGTCCATTATGGCTACTGGAGCTCCACCCATCATGTCTATGTTCTGGGCAGCAGGGGGCGTAAAGGGGTCTGAGCTCCTGCTGACTATGAAGACACTGAACCAGTCCTGGTCTGCCTAGCTCTTGATTTCTTTTCTGTGAAAGAAAACTGAACTTTTATCTTAACAAGATAACAAGAATTACCAGCTATTCTAGTTATCTATTGATGAGCAACAACACTCCCCCCACCCCCGACACACACACACACACACACACACACACACACACCATACTGGCATAAAATAACCACCATTTGATTATGCCCAAAAATCCTGTAGGTCAGAAATTTGGAAAGGGCACAGCAAGGACAACGCTTATACACTCCAGGTGTGGGGCTTCAGCTCAAATGACTTGAGCTGCTGGGGAGGACTCAGACGACTGGGGTTCAGAACAGCTGGGTTTGGAGGATCCACTTCTGAGATGGCTCCTTCATTTGTATATCTGGTGACTGGGCTGGAAAGGCTGGGGAGGAAGATGGACAGTCTCAGTTTGACCGACTATCTGTCAGAGCACCTTGATGTGGTCTCTCCAGCATGGTGGTCTCCAGATAGCCAGTCTTCTTAAATGGCAGCTCAGGGCTCCAAGAGTGAGTGTTGCACAGTGGCAGCTGCATGGTGTATTATAACTTAGCCTCAGGAGTCACATAGCATCACTTCTACTCTACTCTTTTGGCAAAAGCATTCATAAGCCAGCATAGATTCAATGGGAGGGGACAAAGATCCCATCTCGTGATAGGAGGCATGTCAAAAAAAATTGAGTGGCCAAGTTGATCCCAGACTACAATAACTGAATCCTTAAAGTTGACTTTGCCCCGCCCTCTTCCACTAAGCGAATGTCACATTTTGGGTTCTGTTGTCACAGACTCTCCATTTGTAGTAACAAATTCAGTGTTAGTTAGGAATTACTTTAATCTCTAACAGAGACTGGACAAATAGTGGCTGAAATGCATTCATGTAAAGAAGCCCACAGGGAGGCAGTCCAAGGCTAGTGTGGTACCTCGTGATTTGTCAGGGATCCTGCTCCTTCTAGCTCTCTGATTTCTTGTGTAGTTCTTAGCCTCATGGTCCAAGATGAGCCCTGGAGCTCCAGCCATCATATTCACACCCCAGACGACAAGAGGGAAAAGGGAAGAGAAAACTTGAACTCTTTTCTCTTTAAAGGAGACTTCCTACAAGCCCTACACATCCTTCAGGTAACATATCAGCAACCAGAAGTTGGTCTCATGATCACACTTAAGTGTAGGGAGATTGGAAATTTTTGTTTTTACCTGGTTGGCAATATTCCCAGCTAAAAGAGTTCTGTTATTAAAGGACAATCTATAGGCAACTGGATGCCTTGCATCTCCACCTGCATGTCCTACTAGCTACATCTCCAAGTGGCAGCAGTCACCTGGGTAATGGCCACAGAGAAAGGAGAGATGTGTCTGAGACTGAAGGGGGCTCTTCCAAGGCCAAAATACCTCTTCTAATCCCATCATGTGTCTCCCAGGCCTTTAACCACTTCAGAATTTAAAGTTATCAGAATAAGACACTGGACATGATCTAGAGCAAACCTTGTGACCATCAAATTACCAAGGAGCGGGGGTGGAATCCTTCCAAAAGAATTACAATTAAAATTTTCACATAGCAAAGGAAGTTGTTAGTTTTATTGCCAAGATACTTACTTTAAGAATTATTCAATACAACAAATTTCTGGGCAACAAGCACTCCCTATAGAACTGTCTATAATAGGATTTAACCTGAAAAAAAACAATTGAATTCAGATATTTAAAAAGTGACTGAGATTGGGATTGTTTAGTCTGAAGAAAGGAAACCAAAAAGAATCATAATTTGCAAAGATG